ACTACTTTTACTACTACTACTACTACTACTACTACTACTACTACTACTACTACTGCTTTTACTACTACTACTACTACTACTACTACTACTACTCAGCATCCTCCTCCTTCTCCTCCTCCTCCTCCTCATCATCATCATCTTCCTCCTCCTCCTCGCGCCTCCTCACTCCTGTTCCTCCTCCTCCTCCTCCTCCTCCTCCTCCTCCTCCTCCTCCTCCTCCTCTTTCCCTCCTCACAGTCCTCCTCTTCCTCCTCCTTCTCCTTCTACTACTCCTCCTCCTCATCCTCCTCCTCTTCCTCCTCCTCCTCCTCGTCCTCGTCCTCTTCTCCTCCTCGTCGCTCCTCCTCGCTCCTACTTCTCCTCGCTTCTCCTCGCTCCTCCTCGTTCCTCCTCGCTGCTTTTCCTCTTCCCCTTCCTCTCCTGCTCACTCCTCCTCCTCCTCCTCCTTCTCCTCCTCCTCCTCCTCGCTCATCGCTCCTCGCTCCTCGCTCCTCGCTCCTCGCTTCTCTCTCCTCGCTTCTCCTCCTCCTCCTCCTCCTCCTCCTCCTCCTCCTCTTCCTCTCCCCTCCTCCTTCTCTTCCTCCTCCTCCTCCTCCTCCTCTCGCTCCTCCTACTCCTCCTCCTCCTCCTCCTCCTCCTCCTCCTCCTCCTCCTCCTCCTCCTCCTCCTCCCTCCTCCTCCTCCTCTCCTCCTCCTCCTCCTCCTCCTCCTCCTCCTCCTCCTCCTCCTAGTTGGCGTGGGAAGGCCCGAGGTGCGAGCGACCCGCCAGGAGGGCACAAGTTTACCCGCGCGCGACTTTCACGGGCCGATGCTCCCTCGCCTATGCCAGGGGAGGGGGTGAGGGAGACACACTCGCCCTAGACACTGCCGACGGAACCGTTCGTTATTTGAGATGAAAATCCTGACGTACAACCCACAGTCAGCAGGTATGAGCGAGAGACTGGAGGACATTAGTACTGAATTTAGAGGTTGGGATATACTTTTATTGAACGGTACACATCACTGGGCAGGAGACGAGGGGGTTTTTACGATGAGGTTACCCAACCACTTGGCGTACAGATTTGGAGCAAGAAAGGGTCACCTTGTCACGAAGGTATGCGGAGTGGCAATATTGGTACATCACAGCATCCACACCACGGCCCTTCGAAAAACATTCGTCCCACCCAGGGAGATCCAGGGCAGAGTAGGGGGGATCAGGCTTTGGCCGCGAGAAGTAGACTTCTGCTTCTTCAGTGTGTACTTCGGTCCCACGCACTTCAGGCAGCACGAACGAGTTGCTAAGAAAGTTACGGAGTGGATGGAGGGACCATGTGACGGATTAGGAGCAATAAGTACGATAGTAGTAGGAGGGGACATCAACAGCCAGTTCGGATTGCATAGAGGCACGGACGGAATGGTGGAGGTCAATAGAGGAGTGACGACGGGCCCACAGCACAGACAATTGGAGAATGAAAATGGGAAGCACTTCAGGGAATTTTGTGCTGGATCGAATCTCAGTATTGCCACCACGTACCACGACATCGGACCAACCTACTATGCAGCTAACGGTGGGACAAGCGTAATAGATCATATTGCAATCCCTGTCGGCGCATTGAAGCTAGTAGAGAGATGTGTAGCGCTGCGGACATCCGCAAAGCGACTCCAGCTGATCAAGCGACGAGGCCATCGTGACCACATACCAGCGGGGATTGTGCTGTCCATCACTAGCAAGAGCAGCTTTGCCTCAGTACGGAAGGAAAGGTCACCTCTGCTAGATAGAGACCAACTCATGGAATGTCTTCGGAGAGGGAAAAGAAGGCCCGAGTTTCTCGAAGTTCTAGAATCGGAGATGCAGAAGGTAAGTAGGAGATGGGAGGAGGTGAAGGACGAGAGCACGCCCGACGGCATGTGGGAGGTCTGGGGGGAGGCGGCTAGGCAGGCCCTAGACACCTGCTTCAGGCAGGGCAAGGCCGACTGCGACGAGGCCATCGAGCAAGTACGGGCCAGGCGCATGTCACTGCTAGCAGAACGACGGGAGTTGCGAGAGAAGATGGTGGACAGTGCAGGGGAGGAGGGGCTTGTGCAGACGCAGCAGGAACTGTCGGAGATGTCAGCCCTCTTGAAGAAATTGCGAAGAGATGCGGAAGAGCAAAGGCGAGCTCGCCTTGTGCAGGAGATATGGGAAGCCCATCAAAGAAACGATTTCAGCACCATGCACCGACTGCGAATACAATGCAAAAAAAACGGTCGGGGGGCAAAAAAGAGGTATTATGCAGCGGCACGGACGTATTGGCCAAAAAGCGAATGGGTGCAGGAACTAGGAAAACCACCATGTGAAGGGGGATTGGAGGCCAGAGAGATTGACTTGGCAGAATATGTGCAGGAACAGCAGCAAAGACTCAATGACCAAACGCCGTTGCCAGAGGATTTGGAGCTCGCAGGTCAAGTTCTCGTCGACAAGAGACGGATGTTGAAGTATTGCAAAAGAGCAGCCAAACGTCGAGCTTGGCCGAAATGGGGGATCCCAGTAGAACTTACGCGGATGATCTTGGACCCCACTACCCACCTTGAGCACCCAGAGCTGCTAAGTAGACAGATCGAAGAGAGGAGGACCAGGGCGGCGGAGAAAAGGAAGGATGAGGAGGACTTGAGCAAATACACATCACTGCATAAATATCGGGTGGGCAGACGGATCTTGGAACGCATGGGATGGAAGAGCGGGGCGAAGTTAGGCAGATCCGAAGAACCGCTGGACGGCACAGAGTTGACGATCAATGAGGTTACACCATATTTCGTGGACCGCCCTGCACAAGCGGGACTAGGTACGACGACAGTGAGAAGACAAGTAGAAGAAGGAGGCGTTCTTTTCCAGCGTTTTTTGGACCAGTTGCTTATGAAGATACGGAGCGCACAGGTGACACCACTTTCCTGGCATAGGTCCATTTCTTTCGACGCGGACAAGGACAATGGCAAAGCAGGAATAGGAGGGAAGCGTATCATGCACGCGTATGACTCCATGAGTATGGCGCGGCACTGGGGGATACACAATAGGGGCCCACAGCCTGACCACCCCCCATGGGCTCAAGGGGGCCTCGCACATAGAAGTAGAGAAAATTCGATATTATGCCTACAAGCTACACAATGGAGGGCGGGAGAGGCGGGTATGAGCATCGTGCGCACTAACTACGATTGCAGCAACGCGTTTGCCAGCACGAAAAGAGGGCTATTGGAGGCGACGGCATGGCGGTATGCGACAGAAGCGGATCAGCCTTTTGCCCCAGGAGCAATTTGTAACACTCAGCTAAGCATGCGATGTGCCGACGATTGGTTGCATGCGGAAACGACGGAGGGGGCTCAGATGGGGTTTACACTGTGTCCGCGACAATTCAATGATGTGTATAACTTGTACGTGGATCAATGGTTGCAGGGGGGAAGGAGTAGGGACATTCACCAGACTTGGCACGACACGCACAACCCAGTGACCGGACAAATGCACGACCTGGCAATCAACACTTCCATGGATGACATAACCAGGACACACACACACAATACTCCAGGGAGCCAAGGCAGCAGAGGTCACAAAGCAGTTGAACGAAGCAACCGAGAGGCTAGAAACCACGATCGGGCGCGGAGGTTGGAAGCTAAACCAGGGGAAGACAAATCACCTCCTATGCTTGAAGGGTCCACAGAGCTACAGCACGACCCGACAGTTGAGACGACCAAACAAGCTGAAAGGAGAAGCTCTGAGAGAGATGAGGGTGCTGGGACCATTCTTGCCATCGGACCAGGGACTCGGAGGAGAGATACAAAAGAGAATCAAGGCCATACACATTGCGTGGAGACAATGCGGCAGTTTTTGGAGCTCAGACACGCCAGCTGTTATCAAGAGGACGATGTTCATCGCGTTTGTCCTAGGTGCGGGGTTGAGCGGTCTCACTGCCTTTGTCTTATCTCCCTCTCTCACACGAGCCATCGACGCAGTGATTTGCAAGTATCTGCGCAGAATGTCAGGGGGAAAGATGAGCTGGAAGAAGGAGACAGGGGAAACACGCTGCCATACATCTGCAAGAGTCTTTCGGGAATGGAGAATAGAACCAGCGGCAACGGCACTCAGAACAAGACGACTGAAATGGTACAAGAATTGGGCCCTTTACCCCACGGAGAGCATGCAGGCGTACTGGCTGCGGTCTTTGGGGACTCGGTATTAGACCACAGGAGGGGAGTACACCGACTTCAGGACAACAAATGGATATGGTAATTCTCTACACCCTGGGCCAAGCAGTTAAAAGAGGATTTGGATGCACTGGCCAACGCTGATTCGGATACAAAAAGCTGGTACGACGAGAGGATATCGGATTTCGAAATATTCTGCCCAGGAACCTCGGCGTGGAAACACTGGACGGCCACGGACACCACTGTATTGAGAAGCATAGGAGTAGCAGAACTGGACGCAGTCAGAGGTAACGGGAGAGAGACGGAGGGCGAGGAAGAGGAGGAGAACGATGTTACAAAGCCGTACTGGTGCGACTGTATGGTACAGACTGTTGAGGAGACGGATGGGGGGACTGTCTTGGTTTGCGGGAAGCGCTTTACTACAATCCAGGTTTTACTAGGACACCGCAGAGAGCATCACAATATTCGGCCAGTGGTTGCCAGTCTTGTAGCAACAAATCAATGCCCGTGGTGTCTTTCGACCTTTGCAGATAAGAGGACAGCAATCGACCATGCGACCAGAGCAGCCGACGGCCATGGGACTTGTCACCGCGACCGTAGCAAATGGAGCCACCCCATTCAGCCGCCACTGTCTCTCTTATGCCGCATTTGTAACCATGAGGCTCAAACATTAGAAGAGTTTCACGAGCACGCTCGGTCGCACCACCCAGGGCCTACATCAGTGCGGGAACCGAAGCAGCAGGGAGCGCACAGCCATGGCAGAAGGCATTACGTCGGCGCGCCCTCCCTGGGGCCTGAAGAGGGCCGCAGAGTGGCGCCCTCACGACGCCAGCCCACGCGCGGCCAAGGACAGCAAGGGCCAGGGGGGCAAGGGCGCAGGACCAGCGAGCAGCGCAGGACCACCAGGGGGCCAACCACCGCGCAAAGGAGGCGGCCCAAACGCCAACCAAGACGACAGCCACTCGTTCGCCCAGACGATCACTTCGCTGCAGCGCCTGTCGCTGCGGACGGCGCAACAAGCACGGGAGCAAGCGCACCTGGCGACGGACTTCTGGCTGATCCCTGGCTCCTGCTCGCCGTCCAGGGTAGGCCTCGCGGCGGGGCGAGAGTATGCCACCGAGGTGCGGTCAAAAGGGAAGCATCGCAACCTGGGGCCCCCCCCTCGTCCACGTCGCAGTTGCGACGATACAGGAGTTGCGCAACAACGCCCACTCCTGCCTGGAGAAGGAAGGCTACCAGAGGGAGATCCAGTGGAGCATGCAGATCCTCAACCAGTGGCTGCGCCTGGCATTTCACGAGAAGGGGAGAGAGTTCATTCAGGAGACCATAGAAATGTTCAAGATCACGGAGGCGTACAAACCGAAGGGCCAGGAGGACGACGGGAACAGCAGGGTGAAGCTGCAGTATTGCATAAACCCAATGCCGTGCATCCACTTGGCGATGGGGGAAGAATTCATCAAGTACAAGCCAGACGACGGGGGCGAGGCCATGCTGACGGAGGACGAGGACAAGGACGATATCAACGAGTACAGCCCGAACTACATGCGCCAGGCAATGGGCTACATCTTGAAAATGATGGGAGGGCAGTACGGACAGTCAGTAGGACCGAAGACGGACCTGGAGCGCACGGTAGAGAAGCAGCTCCAGAGCAGGCAATAGCTAGCAGTAGTAGTACCAGCCTGCCCGAGGCCACGCCTGCGCCTGTCTCGCCCTCTGCTAAGGGATCAGATTCGTTGCCGTGCACCCCAGCGCAGCTTGCTGAGAGACCACAAGTAGCCGCACCCCTGGAGGAGAATCTACAAATAACAAGGGATAAAAAACTAGCTAAGGAGATCAGCCAGGACCCATCCAGGATGGACAAGCTAAAAAAGTTAGCAGAAACAAGCGACAAAAGCCAGCCCAAGAAGCTGTACCAGCTAGCATTACAATACAGACGAGAACGACAAAAAGACTTGAAGTACGAAGCCGAAGGTCGAGGAGGTAGAGGAGGACGGAATAGTGGAAGAGGAGGCAACGTACAAAACAAATAGCAGTACGGCGGGCCACAGACGTTTCACCAGAGGGCGGGGAACCTACCACTGGGTTCAATTGGGATTACATGTGTTTATGTTTTGTGACTACTACATACATGGGGGAAGACGGCACCTACCTACAGAGGTAATGCGACGACAGGATGGGGATGGGGAGGCGCTTTGCAGGGAGGAGGGTTGCTGCAATAGAGATTGAAGGAGGAGGAGAAGGACAGAAGGAATACATTGCAATAGAGATGCAGAACGGGAAGAAGGGAATGCTGCACTCGGTATTAAACACAACTGGACAGTGCGTTTGTGCAGGTTCCAACGTCGGTGCGCATCGGGTTATCGTAATTGCAGAGTCATTCGTTGTGTCACTGACAATAAAGGGGCCCCGAGGAATTAAGTAGGACTCCAGAGCCCCTGGCCCCATCGTCCGACTACTACACACGACAACGGAGCAGATGGAACGACACTGGAGGACATGATGTGGCATGTACAAAGGGAGGGGCTCCTCCGTAGCACATCTGGCTTAGCAAGAACACAGAGAGTGGGAACGCCGCGGACGGTACCACCACCAACGGAGGCAGTGCGAACGATGCCAGAATCTCTGCCGAAGGTGCCAGGGGTGCCGGAGTATCGAGGAGATGCCGAAGACCCAGAGATTGGAGACTTCAACTACGTGCTGATACTGCAGGAAAAGAACATCAAGCAGTGCCAGAAAATGATGCAGGACGTGAAGAAGAAGTACGAGACGCAGATCGACTACCTGACGGCACAGAAGAGAAAGCTCAACGGTATCTTGCTCAGGTCGCAGATGCTAAACACAAGGAACACCCTTGAGGCCATCATGATCGGGGAGAACATGCAGACGATCACGGACCAGCTCAAAGGCATCGAGGAAGCGCTGACAGCCACGCTCCAGGCGCACGCCAGCTTACAGTTCCGCAGCGAGCCCCCACCTAAATACCCATCGAGCAAGGAGTACATGAAGAAGCAGGTGGATGAGATCAACCACCTAGAGTACCAGGTCACGCCGATCCGCACGCAGCGCGCCATGGAGCTCGCCAAGATCACGCTGGCACCCCCGTGGGACGCGGGCGACCCAAGCACGTGGGTATTCCACGGCTGGACGCCTCCAGCGGAGGGCATTCCAGACTGGGACAAGGACGATCCTAGCACGTGGGTGTTCTACGGTTGGAAGGAGAGGCGCCCATGGATGAACCACCAGAAGGGGCAGAGTAGTGGTGAGAGCGAGAGCAAGGTGAATGCGGAGGAAGTCCCGATCACTGTGAAAGCGGAGGAAGTCCCGATCACTTCGGACGGCGAGGGGGAGATCTGACCTGCCAGGAGGTTGAGAGTGAGAGATTGAGGCAAGCACCACCAGCGTACAAAGCATGTCAGTGAAGTTTTTATCGTCAGAAGCTGGTGCTGCGCAGACGTGAGTATCCCAAGCAGGACCAGAGGACCTGGGGAAAAAAAATCGACGGTTCAGTTGGTTCAGACGTGTTGTGAGGTGAACTATACTCGAGGGGGGGGACCCGTAGCGCCCAATTGGGTGGGCACGATCCCTTAAAGGCGACGGAGCGTGCCCCCCCTCGAGTCTTGCACGCATGTCTGTGACCTCAGATACAGGGACCACCAACGGTCAGCTGCAGGGGGACGACAGAAGGCAGCACCCACGACCACCCATCCCAGCCCCAGATCTGAGTAGGAGGTTTTTTTTATTTTGTCTGAGTGAAGTAGGGGGGAAGGTGGAGGAGGAGGAGCGGAGAGAGCGGCCCCCCCCACCGGCGCGCGCCCCGCTGGGACGCCACGCTGGGCGGCAGGCGCGCCCCGCAGCCCCTCCCCCCCCCGCCTTTCTTCTCGTGTGTGTGTGTGTGTGTGGGAGTGTGTGGGCGTAGAGGTGTTGCGTCCGTTCTCCCCCCCCTCCTTTCACCGAGTGTGTCACCCCTTGCCCTGGGGGCTGGGGCACGGCTCTCGCGATGAGCCCTGCCCCAGCCCCCCCAGCTTTCAAAAGAAGAAAGCAACTGCTCCCCGCGCGTGGCCCGCCCCCACGAACCATTCCTGGGGAGCGCGCCTCAGGCAGGCCTAGGCGACCAAGCAATTGGTCCCAGGCCCTTGCTTCCATATCCAACGCAGGGATAACACAAGACCTAGTCCTGCGGAGCCTCGTGCCTGTTGTGGTTAGGATCGAACCCATCCCCGAAGCGCCTTTGCCTTTGCCTTTTTGCCTCCTCCTCCTCCTCCTCCTCCTCCTCCTCCTCCTCCCCCTCCTCCTCCCCCTCCTCCTCCTCCTCCTCCTCCTCGCTTCTCCTCCTCCTCCTCCTCCTCCTCTCCTCCTCCTCAATCCTTCTCCTCGTTCCTCCACCTCCTCATCCTCCCTCCTCCTCCTCCTCGCTCCTCCATCTCCTCCTCCTCCTCCTCCTCCTCCTCCTCCTCCGCCTGCTCCTCCATCTCCTCCTCCTCCTCCTCCTCCTCCTCCTCCTCCGCCTGCTGGCCGATCGGATCCCGATCTGGTTCCGCGCCGATTCGCGCGATTCGATCAGTTTTTCCGCTCCGACCCGACTTCGCGACTCGATCCAGCTCTCAGAGGAGGAGGAGGAGGAGGAGGAGGAGGAGGAGGAGGAGGAAGAGGATGGGGGGAGGAGGAGGAGGCGGAGGAGGAGGAGGAGGAGGAGGAGGAGGAGGGAGGAGGAGGGACTCAGGAGGAGGCGGAGGAGGATGAAGAGGAGGAGGACCAGTGTAAACCCAAGAGTCATCAACGATGTTGTAGTTAACCTTCCCTCCAAGCTCCCTCTTCATAGGCCCCTACAACGGTTCATTCCCATTGAGGGATCTGGCTCGTTGGAAGACAACCGTTTGAAGATCCAGAAGCATGCCAAAACATTGTTCTCGGGATGACGACGCCACGGAACAACCTGACTGCTGCGTCTTGGCGATTCGGAATCGTGCCAGAAAGCCATGTTTTGGATGTCAACACCGCAAGCCAACATAATTGTTGCACCCGCATAATCCTGAATCCTTCCAAAACACTATATCTCTGACACGATGATCATGGGAATCCGTGAATCTTCTGCAAATACTTAAAACGAATGTGCCCTGCGCTAAGGCGAGAGGCACATGTTGAAAAGGAACCGCCCTCAATCCATGAAGCTCGTGCAAAGTTTCAAAACGAATGTGCGCCGCGCTAAGGCGAGAGCCACATGTTTGAAAACGGCCCGCCCTCAATCCGTGAATGTCCTGCACGTTTCAAAACGAATTTGCGCCGCGCTAAGTCGAGAACCACATTTTGAAAACTGCCCGCCCTGAATCCGTGAAACTCTTGCAGCTATTTTTATATGAAAAAATGTGCGCCGCGATAAGGCGAGAGCCACATTTTGAAAACCACCCGTAAGCTTCAGAGTCATCAATGGTGAGGGGTTCTCAGGCGAAACGTTTGGCCCGCCCTAAAAACTGGCCGGAAAAGGAATGGAGGAAGAGGCGGAGGAGGAGGAGGAGGAGGAGGAGGAGGAAGAGGAGGACGATGGGGAGGACGATGGAGGAGGAGGAGGAGGAGGAGGAGGTAGGAGGAGGAGAGGAGGAGAGGAGGAGGAGGAGGAGGGAGGAGGAGGAGGAGGGAGGAGGAGGAGGAGGAGGAAGAGGAGGAGGGAGGAGGGAGGAGGGAGGAGGGAGGAGGGAGGAGGGAGGAGGGAGGAGGGAGGATGGGAGGGAGGGAGGAGGGAGAGGGAGGAGGGAGGAGGAGGGGGAGGAGGGGGAGGGGGGAGGGGGAGGAGGAGGAGGAGGAGGAGGAGGAGGAGGAGGAGGAGGAAAAGGAGGAGGAAGTGGATGGCTAGATCTTCCCTACGGCTACCCTTCGCCCGTGTGTTCTTGTTGGACCTCGTGGGGGGCCCTCGTCGCCACCGCCGGCTTCGCCTCGAGATTCTGGTCAGAGCACACCTGGGGAGTGGTCCGGGGAGGAGCGGTATCGGTGCTGTGTGGTCTCCCCACGATCCAGCTCAGCCCGCCGGGGCGCGAAGAGCATTGCGCCTCACGCACCCCGGCTGGGGCCGTCGACCTTCTCGACGGGAGACGGCGTGGTGGGCGCGAAGAGGACCGCGCGTCGCGCGTGGAGGGGCGCGATGCGCGAAGGTAGGCGACCTACATCCCGCCGCCAAGTTTAACGTGAGTGTTCCGCCGCCTTCCTGGGGGAGGCTCCTCGATGGGCGGCGGGCCTGCTTCGGCGACGACGGGTGGCGCCGCGCGGCCCAGGACCCCGAGACGTGCTCATGGCAAGATCGCGCGTCCCCAGGCCGAACGTTTTCTCCTCGTGCACGGAAAAATCATGAATCCCGTTGGATCCCGCCACGTGTGCGCGAGAGTCGCGTGCGTACAATTCCTGTTTCGTCAGGGTCCAGTTTTTTGGTTATGGAGGTCTTGTGGATCGAATTCTTTCCGTGGAATCAATGTATACTACTAATCATGACCAGGGACCCACTGGGAATTGGATCCCCGCAGCCTCGGACCTGCAGACCAATGCTCTGATTCTGTTGGGAAAGAAGGTTCAAACACGCGCTCGCCAGGACTCTGGGGAAAAGCCTTGCGTTGAAGTTCTCGAAGGGTTGCAGGGCATGCAGGTGGCCGCTTCGTTGCCTGCCCAGGCCAAGGCCCTGGATGATGCCCATGGCTCCTGGGGCCTTCGGGAATCGCGCAGGGCCCTCGGAGTTCGTCTTTGGTCCCTCGTGCGCACGGCGGCCTTTCGCTCGGGTGTTTCCAGAAGGGCCCGTGGCCCAAGGTGCCCCAAAGATTTCCAAGGAGACCTCACGGCTTCCAGAGAACCCCTCACGAGGCCCAGAGGGCCCCAGTGCCACAGGGGCTCCAAAGTGGAGCGAAAAGCTGGGGGGCACCTTGGGCCAGGGGCACCTTCAGCAAGCCCCGGTCCACAACCCCCCCCTTCTGCCGAAAGGGGCCCGAAAGGCTTGCGGGAGTCAAGAGTGTCGTGCGCGTGGTCTTCCCTTTGCGAACTCCGCAACCCCACGGGGGCGCGAAGATGATATACTTGCGCTTCGCGCCATCGCGGGGCGCGGTGCGCGAGTTTTAGCAACCTAGACAAGGACAGACCAAGCTCCGCGAAAGGTGTTTGTATGCGTATGTGTTTAGCGCGGCACTTCGCCGACTGACTCTCCCCCTAGAATTCGGGCCGCCTTTTTCTTGCGGTGTGGGGTCGAAAGGTTCTTTGTTCGTTGTTGGTCGCTTCACGGACGCGTGCTGGAATGCTATGAAGAAGCGTTGAGAGGAATTGCAGGGCCTTCGAATGACAGGCAGAATGGAGTATTTGGTCGCCAAGTATTATATTCGTTCATCGCCGGCTTTCTCTGGCTGGTCCCGGTAGCTTGAAAGCCTTCGATTTCTCGTCAAGGGCGGGCCGCGAGGTCGACGAGGAGAAGACTGGAGCCTTGGACAGAGGCGCTGTTTTGCAGGTGCTGCACAACATCATAGATCAGCAGCTCAAGACTGCAAGGGAGGATGGAGCCAAGACGAAGCAGGAGGGGTGTTCTTCATGCGCTTGCACTGTTCCTGGGCGCAGCCATAAGACATGCCATCTCCTATGATGGCGTGTGACTCTCTTGCAAAGTCCTGGCAGATCGATACCTTCTCCTCCTTATCCTCCTCCTCCTCGTCCTCCTCTCCTCCTCCGCCTCCTGCTCCTTCTCCTCCGCATCCTCGCCCTCCTCTCTCCGACATGTTTTGCTCTTGTGCTAGGCTGTCGGGGAAAAGTAAGATTCGAGCACGCCAGAACTCGGGCTTGCTGACGCTTTTTGAAGGAAGAGCGCGTCCTGGATTTTGACGGTCCGGTTTTCGTGGGACGTTTGCAGCGGGAGCTTGCGTCAACTTTCAGATTGGGTCCTCGCCACTTTCATAATGGCCTCGTCAGGCCAACCTGAGTCCCCCGTACCCGAGTCTTACGTCTCCCCGATCCTCCCAGCGACTTGTTTTGCCCTTGTGCTGGACTGGGCTGGCCAGGCATGCTGCCAATATGCCAGGCCGCCCTCCTGGCGTCATCGATAGGGGAGCAAACAAGGGTACACACGCACACAGACACACATACACACACACAAACACACACACACATACACGCACGCACGCACGCACGCACACACGCACACAGACACAGACACTCAGACACTCAGAAACACACACACACACACACACGCGCGCGCGCACACATACACACACACACACGCGCGCACACACACACACACACAGACGCACACCCACACGCACACCCACACGCACACGCACACGCACACGGACACGCACACGCACACCCACACGCACACGTACACGCACACGCACACGCACACGCACACGCACACGCACACGCACACGCACACGCGCACGCACATGCACACGCACACGCACACGCGCCCGCACACGCACACGCACACGCACACGCACACGCACACGCGCACGCGCACGCGCACGCACATGCGCACGCACATGCACACGCACACGCGCACGCGCACGCACACGCGCACGCGCACGCACACGCGCACGCACAAGCGCACGCACACGCGCAAGGAAAAAGCGCACACGCGCACTCACACGCGCACGCGCACGCGCACGCGCACGCAGACGCGCACGCGCACGCGCACGCAGACGCGCACGCACACGCGCACGCACACGCGCACGCACTCGCGCACGCGCACGCGCAGGCACACGCGCTCGCACAGGAACACGAACACGCGCACGCACACGCGCACGCACACACGCGCGCGCACACGCGCGCACGCGCGCGCACACGGGCCATGCAAGGCGGCGCAGGCCGAGCTGAAGAACGCTGCCGCCCTGTCCACCCCCACGACTGCTGCTCACGCCGCCGCCGGCGAGCAACGACGCCAGCGAGCTGCCGCGCGTGCTCAAGAAGCCCACCGACGCCACCAACGTCAGGTGTGAGATCGTTAACGTCAGCGTGCCAGCACTGAACGTCGTCGGGGTGAAGTGTGGAAGCCGTTCGCGAAACGACTGGCGCTGACGGATTTTTTTTCCGATCGGGGGTCAACGCCACGCGGTCAAGGACCCCATGGCCATGCGCATTCGGGCCCAAGCTCACCGGGGCCCCGCCTTCGAGGCCAAGACGGTCAACTTCACAGAGATCCGCAACACCTCGATCATGTCTTTCCTCAGCTCCCACTCCTCGACCTCGCGCTTCTAGACCCCGACGACCTCCTCGCTGCTGGCGAGCGCGCGTCGGACTCGGCTGTAGGTCTTGACGGATTGCCATGCAAGGCCTGACCCAAAATGCCCGTCAGTTTCACCATCCTCGCCAACCAGGCGAAGCACATCCCGCGCGGTGGATCCATCTCGCGCGACGTGAACATTTCCCTGCTAGCGATGCTTCCAACGGCGAGGGGCCTCCCAGGAGACGCGAATGCACGCGCGCCCCAAATGGTCAGCGGCCGCCGGCCACGAGGAACGCGGACGCCAAGAATGATCGCTTCGGCTGCCAATCACAAATTAAACCCCTTAGTGCTTCGTACTTCCAAGACTCAACAAGGCTTCTTACCTTGGCGCCAATCTCTCGACGGCGCAGTCAAGGTGGACGCTCAGGGCAGAGAGTGCAGCCTCGACCCGGTCGCCGACGCCAGCCTGCAGTCCTTCCTGAGCATCCACGTTGCCGCTGCCTTCTCGAACCTGGCGCGCCCTCGGCTATGGGCTGTGCTCATGCGCCAGGGAATGCGCGGCCCCTTCCCGCCGCCCCCTCAAGGCCTGCTACTTCCTTCCCGCCAACTTCACCGAGCTGTGCGGCGCGCGACGCCCGCATCTCACGACGGCGAGTGGGTCTGCTCAGCACCGCCCGCTCAGCGGCGCGATCTGGGCCCTCAGATTCGACCCCTTCTTGCGCGGCGTGCAGTTCGCCGCGGACGCCCACGGCGCGGGCGAGCTCAGCGCGCGCGCGGACGACCTCGGCATCACACTCGCACGGCTCCGAGAACTACGCCCGCCGCGCCCTCATCTTCTAGTTGTCGAACTTTCAGGTGGCGTGCGCCTGGAACCGAAGAGATTGATCGCGGCCTCTGTCTGGACGCTGCTCAACGACGACCTCAACGCGAATATCCTTGGCATCATGAATGATATCGAACAGGCTTTCAACAATCCCACCAGCCCTTTGGGCGTGAGTGGTTTAGCGAGCTCTCTCTGTTCTCAACCCCCTTCTTCCCTTTCGGGGAGGGGTTTACCCCTCCCCCTACCCCCTCCCCCTGGGCCTGGAGAGGGCGTTCCGCGGGTCGTTGGAGGGGTCTTTTTCGACTCCTGGGAGGGCTAAAATTCGACACCCCTCACGAGGATTGTGGCCCCGACGGGGGGAGGCAGAAAAGTGCTTGCCCCAGCTGTGATCGATCGCCCGAAAGATGGCCCCAAGATGCCTCCCAGACCCCTCCCAAAGAGCCCCAAGAGGCCCCAAGAGGCCTCCAAGAGGCCCCCAAGATGCCCCCAAGAGGCCCCCAAGAGGCCCCAAGAGGCTCCCCCGAGGCACCCAAGACGCTCCTGGAAGCCCCTGGAGCCGCCAAGAGGCCCCCACGACGCCCCAAACGGCCTCCAAGAGGCTCCCAAGAGGCCCGAAGAGGCTCCCCCAAGGCACCCAAGATGCTCCTAGAAGCCCCTGGGGCCGCCAAGAGGCCCCCAAGACGCCCCAAAAGGCCTCCAAGAGGCTCCCAAAAGACTCACACCAGGACGAGAGGCCCGAACGACTCGAACCACGAGAAGCCCGAACGGCTCACACCAGGACGAGGGGCCCGAACGACTCACACCACGAGGAGCCCGAACGACTCACACCAGGAAGAGGGGCCCGAAGGACTCACACAAGGACGATGGGGCCGAACGACTCACACCACGAGGGGCCCCAACGACTCCCACCAGTCGTCGTCGTCGTCGTCGTCGTCGTCGTCGTCCGCCAACCTTCGTCGTCGTCGTCGTCGACGTCGTCGTCGTCGTCGTCGTCGCGGTTGTGGTCGTCGTCGTCGTTGCGGTCGATATCGTCGTCGTCGTCGGGTGCGTCGTCGTTGTTAGGATCATCGCTGTGGTCGTCGTCTCCGCTAAATCCCTCTTGCCTCCCACCGCTTTCTCTCCCTCCTCCTCCGCCTCGTCCTTCTCCCGCTCCCACCACAAGGAGGATGTACAAGGAGGCGGGAGGAAGGAGGAACAGGGGAGATATGCGGGGGCAAGCGGACACACGCCTGAAAAACACGACTGTCGGCATGCTTCGCAAGAGTTGCTGTTTTGAGATGGGCTGGTGGGGATACGCGAAGCGTGAAGAATTTTAAGTTGAGGACAATGGGCGACACTCTGGAGCCCCTGTTGGCCGGGGCGCCGCCGTATCGGGCTAGTGGGCCTGACCTGCGGCGCAGCGGTGGAACCGCGTCGAGATCTTCGGCGAGCTGGCAGCCCGATCCACATGTCCATCAAGCCCTACAACATTGCCGCCAGCACATGCCTCTCCTACGCCTTCAGCCCCAGCCCCCAGCCCCGTTTCTCTCGGCCAAGGAAACACACGCATGACACACGCTACTTCACGAGAATCGACATCCTGGCCATGCGCGCGTAGACTGGCGCCGAGATCCCCGCGGGCTTGCGGCGCTGCTATATGCTGCGATCTGGCGCACGTCGACTACGTCACTGACGGGATGGCAATCCACCCCGGAGCAGCTGGAAAGCGCCGCGTACAAGAACCAGACCGTGACCATGCTCAATAACGGCCAACGGCGCGCAGATTGCCGGCCTGATAGAGTCGATTGCGCGACGCCTCGAGCGAACGGCCAGCGGCACCGCGCATAGATAATTTGCACGCTCGCTCGGCAATTCACTGACTGCAGATCGCCACAACTTCTCATCGCTCATCTCCGCGCCGCAGAGCAAGGTCGCCAAGCCGTTCGCGCGAACGTGGCAAATGGCGAAGAGAGACAGAATCCCCCCAGTCGGCCTACCTCTCGGAGCCCCAACGCTACCTCTACACCGACCCCCTTCGACAAGATCATCCTCGAGCGCACTGCGCCGCGGTTCCCGATGGGCGGCCCCGACGCGCGAACAACAGGCGGTCGCAAAGCCGAACATAATCAGCAAGCAGGCGGTGGCAAAGCATCAGGACATCGCAATGCCGTCGCGCGTGCTCCTCGTGATCTAGCTGACGAATGCGACGAACATGCTGAGGCCATCCGCCGAGCTCGCGAAGGAGCAGACTTCGCCCGCGCCGTCGAAGCCGAGAACACTTTCGACGAAAGTGCCGACCGATGGGCCGCGGATTGGCTCCCGAACACCTAGCTGGACAATTTCAAACGGCGACGCGGCTGGCGATTGGCTTCAATGGTGCATCCCGCACATCGCATCAGTCTCCCAGAAGGCGCAGTTCCACATTCTGCAAGCACCGCGGATTCTCGAGGGAATGCTTGCGGCAACTGGCGACAGGTTTCTGCTAATAGGTGTGGGTCAAGATTGAGCATGGGCGATGGCGGCGGCATCAGCTACATCTTCAAGACCGCCCCTGTGCAGAAGTCCAACGGCAACGGCGCCTTGCTGCTGAAGATCAGCGAGTCCGTCGAAGTTGGACACGCAAGGGGCGACCCCGCGAATGGCGACTCCGACACGACGCCCCCGCACATCGCCAATGACGAGAACAAGGACACGTTCGACATAATCTCCACGGTGCAGCCCCCGAGCTCTCCACGACAGGAGTGGCGAGCTGCGGGCGACGTGATCGCCAAGACGCCGCCGTCGCGGGTTTGACCCATCATGAAGACGTACGCGGGCGCATGGATGACAAGCTACCGCATGCACGTGAAACCGCACAAGAAGAGCTTCCTCCTTGGGCGCGGTCCCAAGCACGACCAGCCTGACTCGATGGCGCACTAGATGCAGTGCAAGAAGCTCTGGCACCACCTCGCCTTACCCCGCGGCCAGCTCGACGCCAACGTCGTGGTGCGCCTCGGCCTCGCTGGCAACGTGCCCGCTGGCGAGAACAAAGTTTTGAATGCTGCGACGCGCGTCGCCGCGGCTTGCCGCACGTACCACTTTCTCAACCGCGGCGACCCGCCCATCGACGACAGCGGGCTGCACCACCGCAAGGACATCGACGCCGCCGCTCGATCCGCCCTGAGGCTCTCACCGAGCCTGCGCGGCGGCGTCGGGCCGTCAGATACCTCTTGTTCGCTCCTCGTTGTCCGCTCGTTGCCTCGTTCACTCCTCGTTCTCTTCGTTTGCAGGTAGCTCCGGGCTGGCGCGCTGAAGCCTCTCCAGACCGCCCGGTTCGCATGAGTTTTTTTGCAATGTATTGAATGTTCGTGCTCTCGCCTCAGTGCCGGCTACATGTTCGGCCCAGACGGCCACGATCCTTCGCAACAGATGCACAAACGTGCACATGGCCGCATTCTCACCCTAGTCCCAACTGCATATGCTCTTTCTTTGGTTTTCTTGGCCGTTCTTCTCCTAATCCTCGACCCGCTTCTTCGTTTTGGTTGCTGTTCGGGTGATTTGCTGGGAAATTTGAACGAGGGGGTTGTACCCCCACCACGCCCCCCAAGCTCGCATATGAGCACATGGTTCCTTGACAACGGAGGTGGAGCCGAGATTACACGCATTTTGGTTACTATAACTTTAGCCAATTCGTTTCCAGACGCAACGGGTTCGGTCTACATGTTTTGTGGCAGTGAGATTCCTTTTCGGAAGCAGGAGGGGCGCGCGGACCTCGGAGAAATTGTGGTCATGCTCGTGCTGTGTCCTTGTATTTCCACGCTTTATTTGTTGAGGTGTTTGTGTTTTCCATGAACACCATGCAGGGATGATGAACATTTCAGTTTTCCCAAAGCTGCGAAAATGAAATAATGAGAGGATGAAAAGAAAGAAGAACCGCAACATACTCCTCAATCGCGACTGGACCACCCGCACACGCCCTCAAGCGCACGAGGTCGGTAACTATGCAGGAAAACCTTCGGAACCATTCCGAATCTCTGGCCAAAATGGCACTCCATAGCGACACACACACACACACTCACGAAACGCCCCGAAGATGTCGGGCCCACGACGTGCAAGGGGATGAGCACCACCGCGGCGGCGAGCCGAACTGAGGCAAAGATTTGCACCGCCAGCCAAAAAAGATGCCAGGGGGCGTTTCGAGTGTCATGCGGTTGCGATCCCCCTTGTATCGTCTCTTTCTTGCGACGAGAACTGCACAGATGCACTGCTCCGTGGCCAAGCCCACCCTGAACCCAGGAGCCGCGTATACGCCCTCCTGGCCGGCCCAGGAAGGTGTGGCGCATACACCGTTGCTGGGTTCAGGATGGGCCTGGCCAGGGAGCAGTGGATACGTGCACAGATCTCGTTGCCCCACTCGTCCCCTTCGAAGAGGAGGAGGAGGAGGAGGAGGAGGAGGAGGAGGAGGAGGAGGAGGGCGAGGAAGAGAAGGAGGACGACGATGACGAAGAGGAGGAAGTACAGGTGGAGGAGGAGGAGGTGGAGGAAAAGCTGGAGGAGAAGCTGGAGGAGGAGGAAGAGGAGGAGGAGGAGGAAGAGAAGGTGGAGGAGGAGCTGGAGGAGGAGCCGGAGGAGGAGGAGGATTAGGGCGGGGGCCCCTGGGCGAGAGCTAAGCCGACGGGTGCAGAACCGCTTCGTCCCCGACCGCTCCGCTCCCCGACCGCTCCGCCCCGGACCGCTTCGCCCGCGAACGGCTTCGCCAGCGAAGCCTTTCAAGACCTTGTGGCCTCGAATATGCCTAAGATTCGATCTACTCTCTGCTCAAGCAGAGTTCCACCACGCACACAATCGAATACGACCAAGATACCTTGAAGACTGCCCAAGGGGCCCCAAAGACGCCCCAAGAGCGCTCCAAGGCGACCTCTGGACCTCCTCGGCCCGGACCGCTTCGCGCCGGACCGCTTCTCCCGCCGTCGCGATCGCTCGTCGTCGTGGTCGTGGTCGTTGCCGCCCGTCCTAGCATCTCGTCGTCGTCGTCCTCGTCCGTCGTCGTCCTCGTCGTCGTCGTCGGTCGTCGTCATCCTCATCGTCATTATCGTCGTCGTCGTCATTGTCGTCGTCGTCATCGTCGTCGTCATCGTCGTCGTCCGTCGTCGTCGTCGTCGCCGTCGTCGCCGTCAGTCGTCGACCTCCGTCAGTCGTCATCGTCGTTGTCGTCGTCGTTGTCGTTGTCGTTGTCGTTGTCGTCGTCGTCATCGTCGTCGTCATTGTCGTCTTCGCCTCGTCGTCGCTGTCGTTGCCGTCAGTCGTCGACCTCCGTCAGTCGTCGTCACTTGTCGTCTGCGGTCGTTGTCATCGTTATCGTTGCCGTCTACGTGTTCGTCGTCGCCGTCACTCGCCCGTCAGTATCAGCCCGCCCGACCTGCCCATTAGGCTCTGTCCGCCCGACCCGCTCGTTCGGGTCCGCTCGCCCGTTTGCTTCGAAGCCCGCTCGCATGCTTTGTTGTCCCGCCCGGCCGACCCACCCGTCAGGGTCCGTCCGCCCGACCCGCACGTGAGGGTCCGCCCGCCCGACCCGCTCATTAGCGTCTGCTCGCCCGTCTGCCTGAGAGCCCGCCGACCCGCTGTAGTGCCCCGCCCGCCCGATCCGCCCGCTTGGGTACGCCAGCGAAGTGGTTCGGGGAGAAGCGGCTCGGGGCGATGCAGTCCGTTGCGAAACGGTTCGGGGCGGAGCGGTTCTCTGGCGAAGCGGCCTCGTGCCAATGAACATTGGGGGAGGGCGAACAGAACGTTTCGTATGTGTGCACCTTGTGGTCGGCACACGCTCTTTTGAGCACCATTCATGCTGGCCAAGGCTCTCTCCTCACTCGGCCCTGGGATACCAGTCTTGTGCATACGTACGCGGGTGCGCCCTTCAAGCTTGATGTTTTGACTTGTTTGAGCACTGTCTGGTCACGCGTGCTTCTTCGCCAACCAGTGCTTACGCCTCGACTGGTGTCGTCACAGGGAGTTTTCGTTCGGTTGCACGCCTGAGAATTTTCTGTCTGAGCCACAGCAATCTAGGATATCATCGGTGCGGCATTCAATCCGATCCACTCCCCGCCCCCAGCCACACCCCCGTGGGGGACGGTGGAGGAAGAGGGGGCGGTAGGATTGGCGGGTGCAACGACACTTTCTGACCTATGGAGTGCGAAGATTTACGTGTGGAGTTGGAACGAAAATAGGGAAGGGGAGGACATTGCCAAGCAGCAGGCGGCGCTGGAGAGACGATGTCGAGAAGAGCGCTCGAAGGCCGACATTGGGAACGGAAGGGTTTGTGAAGAAACGTGGTTCGAATTATGGTTTGTCAGGACGAGCTCCAGTCTTGATCTAGCAGGCGCCGTTGCATACAGATCGCTTTTAAGAAGGGGCACGTCCTCCAGTTTGGAGAGCAGAGAGCGCACAGCGATTCGCTATTTCCACATACATGCTACACCATAAGGTTTTTTTACCTAGCCATAATGGTTGCTCGATCGGAGACCCTGGCGGCGTTGCTGGTGTGACTCCTGCTCATGCCGTAATTACTGCTCATGTGGTTGTTATCATGTGATTGTTGCTGCCATTGCCGAAACTAATGCCGGTGTTTTTGCCGCGTTATTGCGTTGCGTTGTTGTTGATGAGGACGCCACATGTTTTATTGTTCCTCTTGTTGGAGTTTACTTGTTGTTGCCTCTCATGGATGGTACTGTGGGCGACCCTCATAGGATGATGGCGCCCATCCCGTTGCGCTGGAGGCCTCTGGCCGGTCACGACAGAGCCAGTCGTGGGACGGGCGCCCTGGCTTTCGAAACGTGGCCACTGCCACGAGGATGGCGCCCATCCCAGCGAGCTGGATAGAGGCCTCTGCCGGCTCTGTGGGCCAGTCGTGGACAGGAAGCCCTGGCTTTCGGAACGTGGCTACTGTCACGAGGATGGCGCCCCTCGCGGCGAGTTGGTGGCCTTTGCCGGCCCTGTGGGCCGCAGTCGTGGACCGGGCGCCCTGGCCGTCGCGAAAAAGTGGCGACTGTCACGAGCATGGGCTGGAGGCCTCTGCCAGCTCTGCAGGCCAGTCAATGCGGCTACCAGCACGAGGATGGCGCCCCTCCCGGCGGGCTGGACGGAGGCCTCTGATGGCTCTGTGGACCAGTCGTGGGCCGGGCGCCCTGGCATTCGAAACGCGGGGCGACCCTCACGAGGATGGCGCCCCTCCCTGCTGGCTGGATGGAGGCCTCCGCTGGCTCTGTGGGCCAGTCGTGGGCCGAGGCGCCCTGGCATTCGAAACGCGGCGACCCTCTCGAGGACGGCGCCCCTCCCGGCGGGCTGGAGTGGGGCAACTGATCGGGGATCTTCTGACTTGGGTCACTCCAGACCCGGGTCAGTCAGGCCTTGCAGAATCTTGCAAGATCCTGCACCCAAACCCGGGTCAATGCGAAGGATTCTGCAAGATTTTGCACCCAAACCCGGGTCAATGCGACCTTGGCCTTGCAGCATCTTGCACGATCAGGCGCTCTCGCTGACCCCCGCTTGCACTGTGAACCCCTTCGCAAGGCTTCCGAAGCTGTGGGCCAGGCGCCCTGGCCTTCGAACAGTGGCGACCCTTACAGGGACGGCGCCCCCTCGTGGGCTGGGCCAGAGGCTGGGGCTGTCGTGGGCTGGGCGCCCTGGCTTTCGAAAGCGTTCGACAAGTTGCGACCACGCCCCAGAAGCTTTCGACAAAAGCTTCCGACAAAGCTCTCGAAAGCTTCTGCGGCCATGCCCCACAAGGTGTCGACAAAAGCTTTCGGCAAAGCTTTAGACAAAAGCTTTCGACAAAGCTTCCGAAAGCTTTGACAACGATGCTGGCGCCGCGCCCTGTGGGCCAGCGGCCTCGGTCGGTTTTGTGGGCCAGCGCCGGGCTGGGCGCCTTAGCCCTCGACGAGCGCCTTGCTTCTGCTGCTGGTGTGAAAGTTAGCATTCTTAGTATTAGTAGTAGTAGTAGTAGTAGTAGTAGTAGTAGTAGTAGTAGTAGTAGTAGTAGTAGTAGTAGTAGTAGTAGTAGTAGTAGTAGTAGTAGTAGTAGTAGTAGTAGTAGTAGTAGTAGTAGTAGTAGTAGTAGTAGTAGTAGTAGTAGTAGTAGTAGTAGTAGTAGTAGTAGTAGTAGTAGTAGTAGTAGTAGTAGTAGTAGTAGTAGTAGTAGTAGTAGTAGTAGTAGTAGTAGTAGTAGTAGCAGCAGTAGTAGCAGTAGCAGTAGCAGTAGTAGTAGTAGTAGTAGTAGTAGTAGTAGTAGTAGCAGTAGCAGTAGCAGTAGCAGTAGCAGTAGCAGTAGCAGTAGCAGTAGTAGTAGTATAGTAGTAGTAGTAGTACTACTACTACTAGTAGTAGTAGTAGTAGTAGTAGTAGTAGTAGCAGTAGTAGTAGTAGTAGTAGTAGCAGCAGCAGTAGTAGTAGTAGTCATGTCAGTATAAGTATGTTTGGTATTATTATTCGTAGTATTATTATGCGGTTGTCTTGCTGGTGTTGGTGCTCTTGGTATGTTGGTGTTGGTGCTGTTGCTGTGATCTTGCTTCTGCTGTTGCTGCTCCTGTCGTTGGTGCGGAAGTTATTCCACTGCTGTTGTCGTCGTTGTCTTTGCCGTTGTGGTGCACGTCGCCACCCGCAGGGCCGCTGTTTATGTTACCGTGCTCACTGCGCTTCATTCCCAAATATGTTTTAGCACAAAGGGGTTGAGCATTGTTCGATCCGAGACATCTGCCGGTTGTGTTGGTGTGACTGGTGTTACTACATGTCAATGTCGTGGTCGCTGCTCATGCGGTTGTTGCATTGTTGCGTTGTTGCCAGGTAGATGTCGTATGTTTTGATCGTGTGGCTGTTCTGTTGTTATCATTGTTGCTGTCATTCCCCGCACATGAGCCTTAGCAAAGTAGATTTATTACATGGTTATAAGCATTGCCTGCTCCGAGGCCTCTAACAACTTTGCTGATGTGTTTGCTGCTCATGTCGCCACTGCTTGCCATGTCGTTCGTGCATTCATATTTCGGGGGTCGGCGTTGAGGTAATGTCCCTCCTCCGCCGCATCCTCCTCTGTCTCCCGTAACGAGTACCCGACGACGCAAGACCAGCCGGCGCCTTAGTGATTAAGGGAGACTTCATCCTCCTCTTCCTCTTCCTCCTCCTCCTCCTTCTGCTCCTCCTTCTGCTCCTCCCTCCTCCTCCTCCTCCTCCTCCTCCTTCGTTGCGCAGACTCGAGGCAGCATCATGTGGCGTTATCCTCCTCCTCCTCCTCCTCCTCCTCCTCCTCCTCCTCCTCCTCCTCCTCCTCTTTCTCCTTGCCGTCGTCGCACGAGTGTCCTGTCTCTCCCGAGGGGGCCTGACTGGTGGTTTCGCACGGGGGCCCGCTGCGAGCTAACCCTGCAAGGGTTTCGTAGGGCCCCTGATGCGGGTGGAACTTCCTGCGCCCGCCCCCCCCCTCCCCCTCCTCTTCGGGAAGAGGAGCGGAGGGAGGGGAGGAGGGGGGAAGGGAGGGAGGGAGGGAGGGAGGGAGGAGGCGAGAGGGAGGAGGAAGAAGCGGAGGAGGGCGAGGAGGAGGAGAAGGAGGAGGAAGAGGACGCGGAGGAGGAAGCGGCGGAGGAAGCGGAGGAGTTGGAGGAGGAAGCGGAGCGGGAGGAAGTGGAGGAGGAGGAAGCGGAGGAGGAGGAAGAGGAAGTGGAGGAGGAGGGGGAGGTGGAGGAGGAGGAGGAGGAGGAATCGGAGGAATCAGAGAGGAGGAGACGGAGGAGGAGGAGGAGGAGGAGGAGGAGGAAGAGGAGGAGGAAGATACGACGACAACGGCGGCAGCGGCGGCGACGACGACGAGCCAGACGGCGCGCACGGGGAGGTGGTCGGCGCGCCCCTCGAGGGCGTGACGCCCGAGGCGCTGGATCGCGCGCTGGCGCTCCGCATGGGCAGCAGCGCGGGCGGGGCGGCGTGGGGTGGGAGGGGAGGGGTGCCTCGTGGCTCCTGCGGGGGAGGCACCTCCGCACGGCAGACCCCTCCTCCCTCGGTGCCGGCGCACTCCGCGCAGCCCCCTCCCTCCGCTCGTGCCCCTCGCCTTCCCACCCACCCCCACACCCCTCGACCTGCAGGGCCTTGCCTCGCTCTCGTTCCCCGCCCCTTCCCCTCTCCTTCCGCTCCCCGTCTCCCCCCTCTCGTCCTCGTTCCCCTGGCCCTCCTCGTCCTCCTCGGGGTTGTCCTGTGCTTTTCCGCGTGCTCATCTTCGTCGCCTTCCTCGTCATTCTCCTCATCCATCACCTCTTGTTCCGCTTCCTCCTCCTCCTCCGCGTCTTCATCATCATCACATGCCTCTTGAGTCGTCTCCTCCTCCTCCTCCTCCTCCTCCTCCCCCTCCTCCTTCTCCTCCTCCTCCTCCTCCTCCTCCTCCTGCTATGCCTCCTCTTGGTCATCCCCAAACTCAGGTGGTTTCCCCCTGTTGTTTCTTCCTTATACTCGTCCTCCTCGCCGTCCAAACATATCCGTCCTATTCCTCCACGTTTTCCAAGGGTCTACCTTCACGCCATCGTCATCAGAGTACTAAGTTTGAGTCGCATCCTTCCCCTATATACTCATCATCTAGATTGAATATCTCGTCCTTATCTACTGGCCTCCAGCCCATCCCGCCTTCGTGCCTGCGCTGCGGCTTGGAGGCTTGTGATCAGGCAGAAATGCGTATGTAAGGAAACGGGCTGCGACGCAGCGTCTGAGGGACTCGGAGGTCTCTGAGGGGCGGTTCTGACGCCTCATGGGAGCTTCTTGGGGACCTCCCAGGGGTCTCTTCGGAGCCTCTGGGGAGTCTCCTGGGGACCTCTTGGCGGCCTCTCTGGGGCCGCTTGGAGCCTTCTGGGGACCTCTTGGGGCGGAGAGCTCGAAATGTCGGTTCGTGTTCCCCCGCTGGGACTATTCGTTGGGCGTTCTTGGAGCACTCTTGAGTTGTCTTGGAGACCTCTTGGACCGTCTTGGGAGCGTCTTCGACCGTCCCTGGACCCTCTGGGGGATCTGTTGGTCCGTCATGGGGCGGTCTTGGGAGTCTCTGTGGGCCGTCTTGGAGCATGGGGAATTCGAAACAGCGGAAACGCGAAGATCGTTCAACATCGTACGGGAAATCCATTGGTTCTGCCCCTGGAGGCTTTGTGAGGAGTGCTGTTGGAGGCCTCTTGGGGCGTTATGGAGGCCTCTTGGCCTGCCTAGAGACAATCTTGGACGTCTTGGAGCGCTCTTTCGGCGACTCGAAGCCCTCTTGAACATATGGGAGGGTTCGGGAGGTCGCTTTGGGGGGGGAGGGGGGGGGAGGCCCAGCGTTCACTTGAGGTGCAGGACACGCCTCAGACATCACGCGGGCCACCCCCGGCCGGCCCGTGCGCGTAAGCTGAAATGACGATGCGCCTTCTCCTCGTTGCAGGTGCCCACCGCTTAGCCCTGGAAGGCAGGGGGGCGATGCTTCTTCTTCCGCACATTCCCTTGAAGGTGGTTCCCCCGACAGACTGGAGGGCGATTTAAACGAATTTCGTCCTCCTCCTCCTCCTCTTCCTCCTCCTCGTCCTCCTCTGCATAATTAGAGTTCTGGCTGCAGAAGCAGCAGCGCTGTGAGCCTCGGGGCACTCCACCTCGTGTGAGGGGCACATTGGCGGATCTTCTGTGATCGGTGTGGCTTCTCCTCCTCCCTCTCCTCACCCTCGTTTTCCTCATGACCAGGTTCTTTCGATCTGTGCACTTATTCATCCGATGGTTCGTACGACCCTAGAAGTATGTATCCGCGCTGTTGTTGCGACATGCACACACACACATATATATATAGAGAGAGATACACCTACATACATATACTTATGTGTGTATATATATGTATAAAGATCATTCCCTCTCCCTCTTCATGCTGGATGCTTTCCGTTTGCTCCTCCTCCATCTTGCCTGGCTCCTTTTCCATCCATTTCCCCCCGTCCTTTGTATACGTTCTTCAATCCCCGCCCAGCTCGACCCAATCTGCGGCCCGACAGTGTCACGCTTCGATCACAGATGGTGCCTCCAGCGGCTGGAACGTGTTGGCACATCTTGTTTGTCGCGTCTTATAGAGCTGCACGGTGACCACCAGGGCAAAGAAAAAGGGGTGCGTGACGGGGAATGGAATTATCCTGGCAAAGCAACCTAACAGCGATGTGTAGGAGCATATCTGGAAGCATTCCCTTCAGATTGTGATGAGAATCCAGTTGTAGAATTCTGCTGTTCTCGCAGTCGTAGTCGCATTCGCGATGACAGTCGCAGTGGCAACGGCAGTCGCAGTCACAGCCTCAGCCTCAGCCTGCCTCAGCCTCAGCCTCAGCCTGCCTCAGCCTCCTCAGCCTGCCTCAGCCTCAGCCTCAGCCTGTTTCAGCCTCAGCCTCAGTCTGCCTTCAGCCTCGGCCTCAGCCTCAGCCTGCCTCAGCCTCAGCCTGCATCAGCCTCAGCCTCAGCCTCAGCCTGCCTCAGCATCAGCCTGCCTCAGCCTCAGCCTCAGCCTCAGCCTCAGCCTCAGCCTCAGCCTCAGCCTCAGCCTTCAGCCTCAGCCTCAGCCTCAGCCTCTCAGCTGCCTTCAGCCTCGGCCTCAGCCTCAGCCTGCCTCAGCCTCAGCCTGCATCAGCCTCAGCCTCAGCCTCAGCCTGCCTCAGCATCAGCCTGCCTCAGCCTCAGCCTCAGCCTCCTCAGCCTCAGCCTCAGCCTCTGCTTCAGCCTCAGCCTCAGTCTGCCTTCAGCCTCGGCCTCAGCCTCAGCCTGCCTCAGCCTCAGCCTGCATCAGCCTCAGCCTCAGCCTCAGCCTGCCTCAGCATCAGCCTGCCTCAGCCTCAGCCTCAGCCTGCCTCAGCCTCAGCCTCAGCCTGCTTCAGCCTCAGCCTCAGTCTGCCTTCAGCCTCGGCCTCAGCCTCAGCCTGCCTCAGCCTCAGCCTCAGCCTCAGCCTCAGCCTCAGCATCAGCCTGCCTCAGCCTCAGCCTCAGCCTGCCTCAGCCTCAGCCTCAGCCTGCTTCAGCCTCAGCCTCAGTCTGCCTTCAGCCTCGGCCTCAGCCTCAGCCTGCCTCAGCCTCAGCCTCAGCCTCAGCCTCAGCCTGCAGCCTCAGCCTCAGTCTGCCTTCAGCCTCGGCCTCAGCCTCAGCCTGCCTCAGCCTCAGCCTGCATCAGCCTCAGCCTCAGCCTCAGCCTGCCTCAGCATCAGCCTGCCTCAGCCTCAGCCTCAGCCTGCCTCAGCCTCAGCCTCAGCCTGCTTCAGCCTCAGCCTCAGTCTGCCTTCAGCCTCGGCCTCAGCCTCAGCCTGCCTCAGCCTCAGCCTCAGCCTCAGCCTCAGCCTCAGCCTGCCTCAGCATCAGCCTCAGCCTCAGCCTCAGCCTCAGCCTCAGCCTCAGCCTCAGCCTGCTTCAGCCTCAGCCTCAGTCTGCCTTCAGCCTCGGCCTCAGCCTCAGCCTGCCTCAGCCTCAGCCTGCATCAGCCTCAGCCTCAGCCTGCCTCAGCCTGTCTCAGCCTCAGCCTGCCTCAGCCTCAGCCTCAGCCTGCCTCAGCCTCAGCCTCAGCCTGCTTCAGCCTCAGCCTCAGTCTGCCTTCAGCCTCGGCTTCAGCCTGCCTCAGCTTCAGCCTGCCTCAGCCTCGGCATCAGCCTGCCTCAGCATTCAAAATGTGGCCCGGGAATGGAATTCTGGGAACTCGAAGATCACGAAGTGGCTTACAGGTGGCTCCGGGCATTCAAAATGTGGCCCCAGGAATGGAGTTCTGGGAACTAGAAGAGCACGAAGTGGCCTACAGTTGGCTCCGGGCATTCAGAATGTGGCCCGGGAATGGCGTTCTGGGAACTCGAAGACCACGAAGTGGCCTACAGGTGGCTCCGGGCATTCAAAATGTGGCCCGGGAATGGAGTTCTGGGAATTCGAAGAGCACGAAGTGGCCTACAGTTGGCTCCGGGCATTCAGAATGTGGCCCGGGAATGGCGTTCTGGGACCTCGAAAGACCACGAACTGCGTTACTGTTTGTTGAAAAAAATTCCCGACATCCTCCCCGGCATCGCGCCCAGACCCCCCTGGGGCGTCATGATGCTCTCTTTTGACACTACTAGAAGCCTATCAATCTTCGCTGTTAAGTAAAAATGTGTATTAGAATGGCCTTTTTCGGCGCCGGACTTTCTCTGCCAGCTGCTGCTCTGCGAGGCTACGCCCGGCATGCTCCTTCGGGTGGCGGCCGAGGTCTCGCACTTGCTGCATGAGCTCCTCGGTCTTGTCTCGCTTTTGCTGCATGAGCTCCTCGGTCTTCTGCTTCCGCTTGAGCTCCTCGGTCTCCGTCTGCTGATCAGCACAGCCCAGGGCCCGCAGTTCATGCAGAATGTCTTTGGGGATGCGGTCGCGATGGTCCGAGAAACGTTTGGCCAACTTGTTTTCGGCCCGTTCTTGTTCGGACGTTCCTTTATCTCGCTTCGGTATCCGGCCGAACTGCTTCACGTGCTCGACGAGCGTTTGCAGAGGACCGCTCAATGCAGCACGCTGAGGAGCAGCGCTGTTCCCTGCCGCAGGCTGAGGAGCACCGCTGTTCAATGCAGCAGGGTCAGGAGCACCGCCGCCAGACCGAGAACTATCAGCATGTCCTGGCATTAAGGTGCGCAGTAGGCGCTGCGCAGTTCCTTTGAAAGGAAATCTTCGAAAGCAGGGCTGTAGCCAAGAAGGCTACGGGGACGATGATGATGATGAAGATGATGAGTCATGGAAGTCTGGGAAGTGGAAGAGCACGCAGTGGCGTACAGTTGGCTCCGGGCATTCAAAATGTGGCCCGGGAGTGGAGTTCTGGGAAGTGGAAGAGCACGAAGTGGCCTACAGTTGGCTCCGGGCATTCAAAATGTGGCCTGGGAGTGGTGTTCTGGGAAGTCCAAGAGCACGAAGTGGCCTACAGATGGTTCCGGGCATCCAAAATGTGGCCCGGGAATGAGTTCTGGGAAGTCGAAGAGCACGAAGTGGCTTACAGCTGGCTCCGGGCATCCAAAATGTGGCCCGGGAATGGAGTTCTGGGAAGTCGAAGAGCACGAAGTGGCCTACAGTTGGCTCCGGGCATTCAAAATGTGGCCCGGGAATGGAGTTCTGGGAGGTCGAAGAGCACGAAGTGTGTGACTGTTTGCTTGAAACGAGCCGGTTAAAAATCAACGGCGAAGGGAAGGGAGTGTGACGGATAAGAGGAGGAGGTGAGGAGGCAGTAATTCTTGAAAAAGACAAGGATCGAGGAGACGAGTACGATTAGTAAAGTGACGATGAGGAAGGCGGAGACAAGTAATGCGTGTGTGTTTGTATGTTGATGTGTATTTGTACGATTCGGGTATGACTCGCATCTTGGGTTCTCAAGGTAGCTCGGCTAAAAGATACCTTCTACCCTTGCCGTCGATTGCTCATGCCTTCAATCCCTCTTCATCTCTGTCCTTAGCCTTCACCCCCACCTCCTGTCCCACCTCCTGCGCCTCCACCTTGGCAGCATCATACCTTTTCCTGGTTGCCTCTCCTTCCTCCTCACGCTCATACCAATGCCCATCGCCGTCCTGGTCTCAATGTCAATTCTGATCACACACTCATTATCATCATTCTTGTTCCCAAGTCAGCGGCAGCACCAGTCACTCATGTCAATCGGTGCAATATGCGCTGAGTCTTTGTTCGATGGTCGCGGAGAGTGGAGGAGAGGAGGAGGAGGAGGAGGAGGAGGAGGAGGAGGAGGAGGAGGAGGAGGAGGAGGAGGAGGAGGGGGGCGGCAGTTGAAAAGAGTGGAGACTGGGAGGCCCAGTGATGGCCGGCATGCTGATTGGTTATATGGAGATACCAGTGACGTGTCTTACCGTCATGAAGGCTGGGGGGGAGATGGGCAGCAGCGGCATCTTCGCTGACAGTCACTTCGCCACCAGACCGAGCGCAGAGGTCCAGGGCCACTTGAGCACAAGTGATCGGCAGACGAAGTTGAGAATGCGGATCACCGTGTCTGTGATGTGACGGATTGTCGGGGACATGCAACATCGTTTGACCAGAGCAGCATTGAATGATCACATGTGCCAACCGAGGAGAAGTAAGGTTATGGCTCCTCGTGAGGCACTCGTCATGGAGTATTGGAAGCACAGGGCCGAGAAGGGAAGCGTTCGGCTGATATCTGGTGCCTCTGCGTGTGGGTTTCCGCATTTGCCGTTTGCCATTTCAAGGATGACGTGGAGCTCCTGGACGCCAGCGCAGGGCTCAGATGCCGCGGTGCGTTGCCTCGGTCAGCCGCATTCGCGCGAAGTAACAGCGGTCCGCGCTTCGTTGCCTGGGCCGGACTAGTTCTCTTCATCACGGGGGGTGGCGCAAGGTTGCGAAGGCAACCGAGATTCGCACGGCACGAAGCGCGACGCTGGGTCCGTAAGCCCATTCGATTTCAATATGGTGCCAGGTGCCCCAGGTGTTTGCTTCTTCTAGCCGCTGTTCCGAGAAGGTCCCAGAGGGATCACACCCAGATGCCCCATTTGGTGGGAGGGGGATTCAAAGGAAGGAGGAGGAGAAATGAGGAGGAGGAGGAGGAGGAGGAGAAGGAGGAGAAGAACCGCTACTGTCGCTCCCCCTGCGTGTATTTTGATCCGCCATCTGCGCGACCCTGCGCGCGTTTGGCTCAAGTACTTCTTGCGAGGATTATGCGAAACGCACGGCCGACAAAAGGGCGCGCGTCTCTTTAGCGCGCGCGTATGGTTATTCAACCTCACATTAACGTAGCGGAACGTTGCAAGCTATTGCGTTCTACATCGTGAGGGGGACATCCGTTGACAAGAACAAGAACAAGAACCCTGAGCTAGGAGACCCGGGTAAGAATCTTGCTCCTACGTCGGAACCCAATGATTACTAAGCAGATAAGCGGCCTTCGGCCGAAGTGAGGACGGACGCGTCCATGAGGGCCCGGGACAAAGATCGAGACAAGGAAGGGTCGGGGATGGCAAGAAGGCTTCGCCTCGTCCCGACTCCGACCCCGACGCCTGGTGCGTGCGCCGCGGATGACGGCGAGGGCGATGCAATGACCGATACCCGTGAGGCATGCGCGGGAGCCGGTGGTTCTGCTGCTGGGTCTTCGCTTCCGCCGACCAGCACCGTCCGCTTTGACAGGACGGGAGAGGGAAGATGCCCACCCGCCCCGGAAGCGCCGTGGGCCCCGACGCTGGAACGGAGAAGGCCGCTGAGGAGCAGGCGACGCCCCCGTCGCAGGCAAGCTCCGACACGGACAGGTTCAGGAGCGATCGGTATGATCTTGGCACGGCGAAGGACCGAAGGGGGAAGTCGCTTTCTGGATCTGCACTCTCGTCGACAAGCGCGGTTTCGGTGGCTGAACGGCCCTGGCGACCAACCTGTGAATGCGCGGCGAGTGCCGAGAAACGATGTCCTCGAAGCTCAGGCCGTCGTCAAAGACCAGTCTGCTATTGGTGGTCGCAGACCTGCCAGCATTGCAACATCAAGTATCGATGTGCTGATTGCTTCCCACAAGTAGAGCACAAGTGCTTAGGCATTCAGCAGGCCGAGTGGGAGGCAGCACAGCAAAAAACAAGCAGGTCTATACATGGGGAAGATGGGGGAACTGCACGAGCAACAGCTGCAACGGGTCACCAGCAATCGGAAGGAGAAAGAACAAACGTCAAGAACTCGCGAGATGGAGATGGCAGCCGAGGATCGGGCGGAACGCATCACTGCCAAAGAGGCCGAAAAGAGTCGAATTGCGTCGAGATAGCTCGCGTCGCGGGAGAGGCCGCGGCGAGGAGTCAAACATTAGCGGGGACCGAGGCGCGAGAGAAGACCGAGACGAGGGCTCGTGCTGAGAGCACCTCCCGAGCGCAAGAGGCAGACAAGTGTGGCGACGGGAGCGGGCCGAGACGAGCAAGCAAGGTCCGATTGGGGCACGGCGCAAGCGTTGGGGGCAAGTCCGCTGAGAGCTGACAGGAGGGCGCACGCCCTGCTGGCGTCGGCAACTGCCGCCGTCGTCCAGCAACCGAGCATCGCGACGGCCACTGCTGGCGGCGGGGTCGCCGCGGGAGCGGGCGACGGACGGCCCTGCCGACGTCATGGGCAGAGCGCCACCTCGCGGAGCTGGCAGAGGGAGCCGAGAGACGGGAAGAGGATGCGGAGGCCCGCGTAGCCGGAGAGCGGGAAAATGAATCGCCGACGAAGTCGGGTCCGTGGGGGCGGACGCAGAGCGTCTGGAGGCGCCGCCGCCGACAGGGGAGCGGCCGAGGCGATCCCCGCCGTTGAGAAGGCGCGGGGAGATGTTCGTCGGAGCTCGAGATCCCCTGGGGATTTGGCTCTGTTCGGAGCCAGACACCGCTCGCGGGCCCATTCCGCGCGCCCCACGGCAAGAAGGAGTCTGGTTTTCGAATTCAAAAAACTGGTTCCAAAATTCAGCAAATATTGTTTTTTGAATTAACGAACTGGTTTTTTTGAATTCGAGAATTGTTTTTTTCAATCCCAAAACTGGTTTTTGAATTCGAAGGCCAGGCTCTGGGGGCCCCGGCGGCGACGGGCCCGGAGACGATCTTGACGGGGGGGCGGGCGGGAGCGGAGACGGCCCCGATGCCGGCCGATGGTAACCAAGAAACGAAAGTCTGGGAACGATGAGGGGGAGGAGGAGGAGGAGGAGGAGGAGGAGGAGGAGGAGGAGGAGGAGGAGGAGGAGGAGGAGGGAGGAGGAGGAGGAAGAGGAAGAAGAAGAGGAAGACGAAGAGGAAGAGGAAGAGGAGGAGGAGGAGGAAGAGGAGGAGGAAGAGGA